AAAAAACAGACATTTATCCAGGTGTATGCTCTTCCTAAACACAGGCATTTTCACTATAATCATACTATTTAAAACACTTCCAATTCATTTATTTGCAAGTGTATTAAACAGTAAGGATTAAGTGGACAATGCATGCTTTTGGGAAATATGGAGCATATAACTACGCATTTGCGTGTTTGTAAAGTGATGTTTTGATAGTTTTGCCCCCCCCATTTACCACAATTCATCAATCGTTTGTTCATTGTGAAAGAAAAGTGGTGTATGTAATTGATCATTTTGAGGGTATTTCCCTATTTAGAATGTAATAATGTATGTTATTCCTGTGGAGACTCCAGGAAGTGTGAACAACATACCTGTCACAGATCCAGCCCCTGTTGCTCATTGGCCGCTTGCAGTTGCTGCAGTTGATGTGCAGCGTGGTGGACGTCTGGTTCAGGCAGGTGATGGCGCTGCAGGTGCTCAACTTGATCACCTCATTGGACACGTTCCACAACTCAAACCTCTGCAGCAGGTCGATGTAGGACGTGTACCAGTGCTCCTGAAATGGAAACACAACTTAGTCAGAGATCTTCAAAACTGCAATGTCGTAAGGACTAAAGATCTCAACACACGACTGACCTGCGTGAGGTCATCGATCTCTTTGCGGATGCGTTCCCCGAGGACGATCAGCACGGAGACGGCCATCTGCACGTCGCCTTTTTCGGCGTAATAGCTGAGCATCTCGCGCACAATGGGGCAGAAGAAGCTGGCCGGCAGGTGAGGGGTGAACAGCGGCTGGGAGATGGAGATGAGGGAGAAGGACTCGATGGGAGTCAGACACGTGACCTCCGCCTCGTTGCCGCTGACGTGCGGGGAGTCGGCCTTGTCCTGCTGGAGATGCTCTGGAGCCGACGGGTTGTCCATGATCTCATGTCGCAGCTGGAAGGCCTCCTGAGGCAGCGTGTACTCCTGCTCCTCTGGTGGGACAAAAAGAGCAGAGATTAGACAAAAGAGCGCTGAGCATGGAAAACAGCAGTCACTGACAGAAGCTAACTCTCAGAGACGGGACTGACCTGTTTGGTTGTCGTGCTCCATCGAGTAGAGGTCGTCATCATCTAACTCAGCATCACCGAACATATACTCCGCCTGGCCCTCGCTGCCCTCCGTCTCCTCGTTATCTGAAGGGTAATAGAAACTAATGGCTTTAATAAAATACAAACAGGAGGACAATCAGATAAGCCTGTAGGAGTTTCATGGCCGCTCTCACCTTCATTATTGTTGCTGATGAGCGAGTTCCCGGGCTCTAGGTGGCTGTTGTCCTGCCTGCTCTCTCCTTTACTGCGCTCCAGCCTGCTCTCTGCGCCCATCCCTGAGTTCATTTCCTTCATGTTGAAACTGGAAGTATAACGAACATCAGCATTAGATGATAACTTGTGTTGCTGTCTTTGTAATGGCACTATGAAATAGTAGTTTACCTGTTCATTAAAGGCAGGGTGCCCAGTTTACTGAGCGGGTGGTTTGGACCGGGAGTGAGGTTTGCTGGGTCTGAGAACATGATTCTCAGCATGGTCCAAGTTGTGGAAACCTTTGTGTTAAAGAAAACAAATATTGGTTATTCATAACACATGCCAAGGACAATTACTGTATAATTCATGGAAGTAAAGTATTACAGCGTTGAATACAGATTTGTTCCCGTGTCTGACCTGAGGCCTTTTGAGCTCCCGGGCCACTTTGGCGTTGTGATCACAGAGCTCTGCGAAAGGCTTCCCACAGAGGAGGTAGAGCTGTGCCGTCTTGACAAACCAGTCCATGCAGTTACTGTCCAAGTCCGTCTCAAAGACACTGAGGGCGCTCGACACATGGGCAAACTGTTCTGTCTGGTCGGGCTTCTTGAAGAAAAAGATGGGGTAGCGGCGGTCTCCCCCGGGGTACGGCTTTCTGTTGGAGTCGCTGCTGATCAGACTCTCCTTGGCTGCAAAAGCCAAATCCCCAAACAGTCCGAAGCACAGACCCTCGGGGTTGGCCTTGTCCACGGGACGAGTGGCGTCCTTGAACATGTGTTGGTACAGAGTGCTGTCCTTAGAGCCAGAGAGCAGGAAGTGAGGGTCGTGTTGATGCCGCCACACGATACCCGTGGTCACATCCTTGTGTTCCTCAAAGGTGGCGAAGGGAATGAAAGGTCGTCGGACGTCCCACACATAGATGTTGTGATCCACCATCATGGAGCAGGTGGCTAAATGAAACTTCTTCTCAGGCCGCCACTTGACCCGCGCCACTGAGGCGATGGTCTGGACACAGAAGATTTCCTTGGCCCGGTTGGTCGTCATGTCCCAAACTTTCACCATCTTGTCCCTGCCGCCAGTAGCCAGCCATCCCCTAAAATAAAGGTAAAGGTAGAGAAATCCATTTAAGAATTACAATTAAAACCCGACTAAAGCACTACTATGACAAGATACAGGGAAACCTTTCATTTCTAAGTTTGTTTGAGTCACACTTTCTTGTACCTGTCATCAGGGTGCCAGTCGCAGCAGAACACGGGTCCAGTGTGAGCGGTGAACATTCGCTCGTAGCGGTCTGGCCGCCGGATGTCCCACAGCTGGACGTTGCCATTCTCAAAGGACGCAGCAAAAGTGAAATAATCCTTCATGCTGAACTGGACGTCCCTTACACTCTCTGACTGACCTGGAAGAAAGAAAATCAACAAACAAATTAAGCAATTAGAAAATAAAGAAGAATAAAGTTTGTTTCATATTTTTCTTACAGTAAAATATGATTTCTGCTATAACAGAAACTGGATTAAACAGAATCCCAACACATAAAAATGCAAAACTGCTCAGAATATTTCCAGTAAACCACATTTCAAAAGCTTATAGAAGTAGATTGTGCAATACATTCAGCAGTTGTATTTCACTTTATACTAATGGTCTGAGGCTTATCATATAATATCCTACCTGAGAACGTGCTGACGGACTCCTTCTTGCGCAGGTCGAAGCACTTCATGAAGCCATCCTGCGAGCCGCTCAGCAGCATGTACACCTCTGTGGGGTGGAAGCACACCTTGTTGACGGTGCGTTTGTGCTCCGTGAACAGCTGGTCCTGCTTGTTACGGGACGGTTTCCCCAGGTTCCAGGTGACCACCGCCCCGTTGGTGGCAGCTGTGGCCAGCAGGTTCTCCTCCATCTGGTGCCACATGACATCTGCACAGCTGAAGTTGAGCGAGGGTTTGCGGCCCACGCGTAGATTCAGCTTCTCCACAAACTGATCCTCCTCCAGAGCGTAGATCTTGAAGATGTTGCGGCCGGCCACCACCACCTGCGAGGCGTCACGGCACACGCTGATGGCGTTGGCAGGAGCGTCCAGGTGGCAGAACATCGTTCGGCCACTGATGGCACTGCTGCCGAGGGCTGTGGTCACCCGTGACATCTTCTCCATGTTCCTGCAGCACAAAACAATGTTTTTACTCAAGCTCAGAGACAATAAAGTTGCATCAGGTGAACTGTAAATGAATTTGTTACTTTTACTTTTACAGCATTCTATGAGCAATATGTAAAATGTATATATGCAGTTCCGAAAACCACCAGAAGATGGCACTACAGGATGTTACATGTATACAGTACTTGGTGAAGAGGGAACAAAAAGTGGATTTAAGTTCAACATACTGTAAGTGTGTTTACCATTCTAAAAATAAAACTTGAACTTACTTGTTGAAGAACCACCGGTGTTGTTATTTTCTGCTGCAGCACAGAGTCTTCTTCATGTGCTCCCATGAGAGCCAATTAACTAGAGAGAGAAACACACAGCATGATGTTATCTGGGTTCATACTTAGGACAGATATTTTAAGTCCATCACAATTGAATGGTAAAAATGTATTTAGCCACTGTGGAGTAGAGCTGCTAAAATAAATCAGCTAATTGATTAGATTCAAAATAATCGCAAACAAATCAAATAATTGTTCAAGTAATTATTAAATGCAAAAATGTCAGAGATAATGTTTCAGCCTCTTTAATATGGATATTCCCTGCTTTTCTCTGTTTGTTTACCACACTAAACTGAATATGTTGGTAACTATCAGAAACGTTATTTAAAGACATTAATAGAGCTGGGATGGAAATGTTATTAAAAGGAATAATCTATAAAATAATTGACGGATGTAATGAAAACACACCTTAGTTGCAGTTTATGTTGAGATTTAAAATGTCAAAAGTCAAAAACTATTTTGGCAGCAATACATTGTTGTGGATGATTTCCTAGAGAAACATACATGAACCTAGGAGACATTCCTGAGGTATGAAAGGTCTCTAGGACGACATTTAGCTGGGAGAAATAGGAACGCTTCTTCTTGCAACAGATTATCATTTTAGGTTTTTATACTGTCAGATGTCCCTTCTGTTTGTTTACTTCTGTCTCATCTGTATAACGTATTGCTGTGCTGAGGTTTGTGTTAACCCATTTCTACCTCGTGCTGGAATTGACCAATAGCTGCTTTAGCTCAACTGAAGATATAATGATGCTGTCAAGACAAAACGAGGGATCCCAAAATTGAGAGCTACTACCCTAAGTAACAAGTGCTACTATTGACATTGACCTAATATTACTTACATCTCCTTGATTTTGTGCTTAAGTGGTGGTCTAGTCTCCTCTGAAATTGGGTTGAATTGTTGATACGTTTCTCTAAGTTGTTCACTTGTCTGTGGGCGTGTTGTTGGCTGCTAACAGCTAAACTCCTGCACAGTGTTTTCACCATAAACATGACAGGAATGTGATGCTAATGCTAGCTGGCTAACCTAGCTACCGAGCACTTTTGCAAAGACGAAACGCGCACGACTCAAGTTTCACAATTATGTCGGACAACTAGAGACATATTTAAACAATATATCCAACTGGGGTACAGTGTCTATGCAAGGTAAATAATAGAGTATTTTAGGAGGACAAACCTTCTGAAACTGTTGCTCACTGCTTGCGGCACCGGAAGTAGTATTTTGCCCTGACACACTGTCATCTCGCGATAATTTCGTTTCTAGTTACGGAAGCATCGACACTACTACAATTCATTCAGGAGTTTTCTGAAGATTTTCACCTCTTTTTTGTTCTGTTTTCATCTGTTCTTTAAAAGTGAACGGTGCATTTGTTGAAACGAGGTATTTTAATAGATATATTAGTATAAATGGCACAGTGCTGTAGAATAGAGGTTGTAAACTGATTTTGTTTGTCTATGTTTGCAGGTGATGGTGTGATCTCTCTGCAGCCATGAGTTCTCTGTTTGCTTGTGAGGAACCAAACACATGGAGGACAGTGTTTGGGAAATACTGGGATGTAGTGGAGGCCAAATCCAAAAGCAAGAAACCTGGAAAGCTGCTGGACCTCGAAAAGTGGTAAATAATTCTTCCTGCATTTTCCAAAATAGATCTAAGAGACTTTTCAAATAATTTATTAAGGAGTAGAAGAATGTTCTCAACACATGAAGGAACACTTTATCCTTCAGTCCATCACAACGTTTTTAAATCAACACATCTGGAGATACATGGTTTTAACTAGACATAAAAGGTTGAACATCTGTATATAAATGTCTATATATGAGGAAGCATGTAATCAAATTGTCTAGCTATTTCTGCATGAAAAACGACTGAAACGAAGTAACATGTCTGTTGATCAAGTAATCGATTCATTGACACATTTTTCCAGCTCTGAAGTTGTTCCTTGTTTTGAGCGTGAGATTTTAACTGAGACTGACCTGTGTGTATCTGCTGTCAGGTACCAAGAGGAGCTGCCGACACTCATTTCAAGTCGCCCTGACAAACATGTCACTCAGTCGGAGCTGGTGAGACTGATGGAGTGGAAGCTCACTGTGAGTGACATCTAGACATAAAACCATAATAATCCCAGAGGAACTGCAACACAAAAAGATTTTGTCAGCAAATAATTCCTCAGACATATCGTATTGCTATGCAGAGCCTCAGCTGTGTCCTTGAGTGGCCCCGTGTGCTTTTCCTCCGCAGAGAGGGAAGTTCAGGCCGAGGCTGCAGCAGCTGGTGGCGTCCAACAGTGAGGACACCGTGGAGAGGAGCTCCAGAAAGGCCTTCAGCCTCCTGCCTGACGTGAAGGCAGCCATCGCAGAGCTCAGCTCCCTGAAAGGAGTCGGCCCAGCCACTGCCTCAGGTTAGCACAGCGTCTATATTCTGCTTCTGCACACAGCTTTCATCAAACAGATAAAAGCTTTGGAATTCACACTGATAAAACATCTCTGTGTGATCCTCTTAAAGTGAGTTCTCACTCAGTGAGTGTGCTACCTCTGTGCGGCTGGGACTCCCTGCTCTCTGTTTGAATAGTTTGTATTCTCCTCGTTGCCACCCTCAGCTTGGCTCAGGGCTGACTGTCCATTTTGTTCCAGCTGTGTTGTCGGCAGGAGCTCCAGAACAGGCTGCGTTCATGTCAGATGAAGCCATGGAGAGCGTCCCGGGCCTGAAGCCCATCCAATACACAGCCAAGCACTACGCTCTGTACCTGGGCAAAATGGTTCAGTGCACTGAGAAACTAAACAAAGGTGAGCTAATGATGCAGACACGAAGGGTGGTGGGTGCATCTGGATTCGGCATTGTCAAAAAAGCACATTAAATATGATTCTACAAAATAAAAAGCAATTAGCTTATAAAGAGACTATTTCATTGTCTGATCAAACCTCATATCTGTGCTTTTAAATCAAGCCTTTAATATTTTATGTTTGCCTTTTATTAGATTAAATTTGAGACTATTAATTATACTTTTTGCACAGCACTGTACATTTGAATCCTGTTTAATCAGTTTTATTCAAATTGTTAACAGTGGCTATAAAAACTGAAAGATGTAACGTTTTATAGCTGCACAACATTAAATCAAAGGAAATGTTCTCCCTCTCTTTTTCCCTTGATTTGGTAAAAATAGAAGCCCAATAAAATCCAATTTTCCTCTGATGCGTGGTCTGTCCTCTCCCCTCAGCGGACCCCCTGCAGGACTGGACCCCCCACAGGGTGGAGATGTGTCTGTGGGCGCAGGCTGCAGCCAAACAGCAGCAGATCCCCCTCCTGGAGGATGAAGGAGTGAAGAAGACCCGCTCAGAACCCGACGCTGACCAGAGACCAGGGAAGAGGCTCAGAACAAAATGAACACTTCTACATTATTCTACAATGAACTTTCTTTAGTGTTTTTGTATTCAAATTAATAAAGGCTTTATATCAAATACAGTTCATTTAGATTCTGTCTTTTGGAGAACATGTTAATAATGTTTGCGTTAACAGGGTTTGGGAGCAATGGATTACATGTACTGTATTTCCTTACAGTTACATTAGACTAAAACGTAATAAGATTACTGTTACATTTCTAAAATGTGGGGATTACTAGCAGGATTATAATGTTACAACTTTAATTTGATATTGAGGTAATCCAAAAGTAATGGGAAGTAATCAGGTTAAATTCAAGGTTCAAGGTTCTTTATTTAGTCATACGAACATAGCTACAGTGTAGTTATGAAAATCTTGTGTCACAGGCTTCTCCAACAGAGCAACACAAAACACAGATAAACAGAAAAGCATAGTGCAAGTAAATATTAAATAGTAAATACAAAAAGAAAAATTGTTTTAAAAAAGTGAAATAGTGCAATAAAAGTCTATATGCAAGTTATTGAAATAGGATATATAGGTAAATAGATCAATAATTTTAAAATAATTTTTAAGTAGCAGCCAGATGAATATGAGGGATGTTGTTTCAACTGTTCAGGTGTTTAACAGTCTTATTGCCTAAATTACTTTAGTGGTTACATTTTTTACAGGTTACCATTTATTGTTACATTTTGAAAGTAACCCTCCCAATCCTGTGGGTAAAAGACCCTTTTTTAAGACCAGTTATTGTTTAGTGCAATACAGTATCATGTTGTAATTCATACAGCTTTAAGATAAACTATTTCTGAATAACGATGATGTTCAGGGCTTTAAAAGTATTTCTTTATTTACTGATCATTTATTTATCAATTCATTATATTGTCTATTAATCTTCTGCAAACAGTGCAAAATACACATCACACTCAATTCATGGTCACATTATCGAACCAATAATCCCAAAAATATTTAGTTTACAATCCGAGGACTTAAAATACATTTGAGGAATCTGAAACAAGTACATTTTAAGTTTACCTTTATTAATTGTTGCTCAATGATACCCCTTTGAGAAAAACACTAAATACAGCAGTTAGATGTTGCCACAGTATTGTTCTTTATTTATATTGTTTCTAAATTAAAGCAAAGTACAATGAACAGTACAAAATAAAACAAAATATATTCATATATATACAATATAAAATGGTTCCGTTCAGAACATTTAAAAAGTACAATAGATCGTGAAATAATTAACGAGGACTTTGATATAAATTATCCACATGTACATTTAATTTTTCCTTTAGTTTCCTCTTGACCGAGATAAAATAGCTTCTTCTGCTTTTTCTTTTTGTAAACGCTGTTGTTGGAACAACCTCTTGTCTGGTCTGAGATTGAACCTCTAAGCTTGGCACCATTTTTATTAATACAAGTAAGCAGCTCATGAACAACTACCACAGCAGCACAGATATGACTTTTCTTTTTTAAACCTTCAGAGGGAAACTCACTTTACGAAACCATCTGCTGATCTTGCATGACCTCTTTGAATGGCTCTGGCTTTTTTTGTGAACATGAAAAGAAAACTGTACCAAAGCTATAGACTGGGAAACCAATGATGTTCTCTGTTACAAACCAGAATAATACACTAACTCCAGAAGGAAACCCTGAATACAGACACACTCTTTATGCTTGTTTCTAGCAGCGATACATAAAATCAGTGGTCATAAACCATCAGCTAATGTTGCTAGTTGCTAATGTTGCCATTTGCTAATGTTTCTGGTTGCTAATGTTGCTAATGTTGCTAGCTGCTAATGTTGCTGGCTGCTAATGTTGCTAGTTGCTAATGTATCAGTTGTTGAACTATGACAACCTGCAAGCATTTCAATTCACAGATGCATGTTTAGTTTGTGATGTCCCAGCCAGTTTATGTTGTTTCTGTTAAATTAAAATTACAATCTTGAAGATTTTGTTATCTTCAACAGGACATATGGCGATAAGCGTGTTGGATAAGCAGTAATTGCAGTGTATCGTGTTTTTGGATCTAACTTCCCAAAGATTGCCACTTGTGTTTTTCCCGGGAATGTCACCACAGACACCCAGTTTTTCATAATACCGCAAAAATAAGAGATTTGATAAGTTATCATCACCATTGTTATAACTTTATTAGCGGTAGCGATTTACCCGATATTTATCTAAATGAAAATCTTTGATATTGTTATTTTAATATTAAAAGTAAAATCTACCCTTTGACACTGATTTTATGTATCTAATGCAGGATCACTATGAGAACTACAGCCAAAAGTCTGCTTTTCGGTGCCTAAACCAGCTTTTCAGGTTTCAACGTCCTCAGTAAATGTGTTGGTTGTTGCTACAGCAGCCTGCTTTAGTTGCACAGTCCTGCAGTGAGAGTTACCCATTTATATCTAAGTAGCAATAAAGACTAAGAAAAGGCAACCTGGCAGCAGTTCAGAGCAGCTACAGGATATATTAACAACCTCTCAGTTGTTTGCACTGCGGCTTATCGCTCTTATGGATTCTGTGCATGATCATGGAGAGAAACACAGCAAAGCAGCCTTTCTGACCGGTGCTAAAAATGTGGGCGTGTATACAATAACAAGGCATTGGGCATAACAGCACAATGGATTGGCATAGGGAGGTAAAAAAGCATCGAAGAATGTTTATGGCAGTAGAGAATATGGCAACATGTATACATTAAGTGCAAAACAGCCCATGTTTGATGAAATACAGCCATAGGAAATAAGCAAAGAAATGTCAAGTATGCTGCATTTTTAGGACGAAAACAGAAATGAACAGTATTTTGCCTGCAGTCACATCAACCAGGGTTCATGAATGATCTAGTAACTCAGCAGATCTCAAAGTGTGTCTCATTATCATAAACAGTTGAATCTCAATCACTCAAGGCTCCCTTACAGTCCAAATGGCGGCAAATATCCAGAAACAGAGATGTATTTAACTTATATTGAGGCCAACTTATGTGTTTTTTAACCAAAACAAAGGCTTGCAACAGAATATCAAAGACTTGTTTTCAGCCTAGTAGATTGAACTCAATGCTTTCCTACTAAAGCAGTTGTTTACTTACAAAAAGGACAAAGCTGAGCGGTAACAGAAGACCTAGCACTAACAAAAACAGCCAATTTCATTATGTTGAATCTAATAGGATCTCAAAGATTTTAACTCTGCAAATCATCAGGCCGGTTTAGCGGAGTCAGCAGTGAGTGAGGGTATTAAACAGTCAATAAAAAAGCTTTCTCAAAAACTGTGAATCACTGCAACCATAAGAGGTCCTTGAGCATACAGTCATGAAAACACAAACACTATGAGGCATTTTTTAGATACAAAAAAACAACCTGTTGCCTAGGTTTCATGGTGTCTTAACTAAGGATTGAATTGTTTTTAGTTATAAATCAGGCTATGTTGTATGCAAGATTAGCTGCATCACAAACACAATGCATGATCTCCAAGAGACTCAAACAGTCTGACCTTTTTAACATCATCTCCTACTGCAGTCTTGACTGTGTTTAACCAATCAGGTGGGGCATGTGTATTACTTTAAGTGATGGATCACATTGTTTATTATTTATCATACGTTATTGATAGTCTGCTTCTATTCAGCTCATGCCATCCCTCACCACGCCTTCCCTTTGTACTGATGAAAACAAAAGTGTCACTCAAAAGACAGCGATTAAATTAACATCATGCAGCCTGTCAGGTCCACTTATTAAAGGAAGATATCCTGTTTACGCACGAAGCTCTGGGCTCCTCGCTGCGGCCATGCATCATCCTGACGGGGGGGGGGGGGGTGTGTGCGGCATGATGGGAGAGCACGTACGCAGCAGCTGGTTTTATAAAGACACCTTCTGATGTCCCTCACTAACCATTTAACGTCATGTACTGTTAACCAGAGGATGGGAGACAGGGCTCTATCACTTATGCTGAAAGCTGAGTGGCTGAGGAGACTTGTCCTACAGATAGGTAAAAAAAACGACTCTTTAAACTGGTCTGTGACTTTTCGTCTTGTATTTTATACCTTTCATATTCTATTTTAGCTTGTTTTTGTTGGTATACTCTTGGATTTTAGTTTTTAAATGTAATTGCATGATGTATTTCTGTGGCTCTAATGCCTTTAATGTTGTTGAAAAGTGCTAAAAAAAGCCTAAAAACATTTCCTGTCCACCTGTTTTTCTAACATGCACACACTTTATTTGTTCTTGTGTTGAGGATATTGTCTGCCTTTTTCAGAAAATAACATAATAGCGAATCCAAAACTCTCACTTTGTATGAGAAGAACTGGTATCTGTTTAGGGGGACACAAAACTTACTTTGTTTTTAGTCCTGCATGTACTTCGAGTGAAGGTAATATTAACATTTAATGTGCTCTAGAAAAACATTTACTAGCTCCCTTTTACAGGCCCTCTGGGTTCCTGTGAATCTTCAGTTAAATAGGAACATTAACCTATTCTCCGGCATCCTCTTTATCTTCATTATAGGCTAACAGGGTATGTGTAAATTATTCATCGATGCATCTTTGCTATCCTGAGCAAAAAGTATTTCGTAGTATACACAGGAGTTCCCATCAAGGATCCTTTAATACCACGTATTAGCTGATCCTTTCCTTTCAATGCATTCGAAACAGGGCTTTTCTGGCTATGGATTTCCTCATTTAGCGCCGAGTCTTCTTTTACGACTGACAGTTTCATGTGGAAGCAAATGCAAAGGAATGTATTTATGACCGACTATCAAAATTGGCAAATGCATAAATTTGTTTCCCCTCATGCAGCCAGTGGACATTCAAATGAATTATTGAGTGAAGGCTGAAAAATGGAACGTAGCAGGAGAAAATCTAATTGCTATCCTCGCCTCAGCTTTCCAAAAAGCTTGAATCACTCAGGAGAAATATATGACAGAAGCACTGTCCATATTTTGTTACTTGCAAAAGAGTCAAAATGAGGATAAATGTTTGATCACACGAACAAAATGAAAGCTACCAATCCAACATCTTTTTCTTACACCCTCTCCAATTAGTTCTTCCTATGGCTTATTTTGTAAAGCACTAACGATTTATAAAATCAAGCTTGTGTGGGGATTCTGCCTCGTGGATTATTTTTCAGAGGAGCATACAGGACAGGAGTAATCAGAAGAACAACAATCATAGCAATAAGTTTGCACCATTTGAAACTCTTCCCCGTCAAAGAGGAGATGAGACCAAATAAATATACTCTTGGTTATGAACATACGATATACACATCCACTATCAAAAAGAAAAATGGGGACAGCTTAATAACACTCTTTTTTTCTTTTCTTTATAGGTACATTCCTTTACAAAAGTATACAGTCCCTAAGGATGAGAAACTGAGGTATAGACCGGGCCCGACAGAGACCCCAATGTCCTCTGGGACGCAAAGGTCAGAGGTCAGGTGATGACACATCCACGCCCTCCCCAGTCCAGTCTGTCAGAGCGAGAACAGGCAGGGGCCAGTGTGTGTGTGTGTGTGTGTGTGTGTGTGTGTGTGTGTGTGTGTGTGTGTGTGTGTGTGTGTGTGTGTGTGTGTTCTCTTCGGTTTGTCCACGTTGACCTTCAGAATCAGGCGGTGGCTGCTCTCAAAGACAAAGAGGAGAAACTGTGTGTGTGTGTGTGGGTGAGTGTGTGTGTGTGTGTGTGTGTCCTTGTCTCGCTGAGAGCCACAGAGCATGACATGGCATATTTTACACGGTGCGCTTAGCAAGTTGGTGTTTAGTTCGACAACAGGAGGAGATCACCCGGGGAAGCGATGACCATCCAGGAAACTTGATCCGTCTTTTTTCTAGCGAGCTTAATTTTTTCTTTTTCTCCATGTCACGCGTTCGCTTTCATTTCCCATCTTCACGTCTATGTTGTGTGAAATATGTCTCGGTATCCACAGTGTAGGTATAATGCCATGTTAACAAATGTAAAAGAAAAACGGATGTCTTCTCATTTATAAAGATCCCATGAGGTGAAAATGAAGATGCCTTCTTGAGGATGACAGAATGAAACGTGCCTGAAATCTTGCGTTTCAAATCACCCTCTCATTCTTTCTGCTTTGGGAGAACCATTTGCACTCCAAGCATTTTGTTTTCAAATTGGGCAGGAGACCCTTCTCGGCAGCTCAATTTGAGAAAAACGTTCTGTAAGTTGTTTTTTGTTTTTCAATCAGCGATTTTGAAAACGCCACAGTCACCCCGGTGAGTTACAACAGGGCTGTGGAATCACAAAAACACAACAGCAATCATATTTCATTTGGTTCTTCAGACATTTTTGTTTTATTGCTACCCTAAAATAAACTTTTTCCTTTAAAGCAGCTGCAGCTCTGATTTTTGGCACAGATTTTTGACTCAGATTCAGGCGTGCACTCTGCTTAAGTGCAGATCTTGATAAAAGAAACATTTCTCTTAGTGTTTCTCCAGCATTGTCACCGCGACAGCACTCTACTGTTTCCCTTTGCTTTTCACCACAGGCACGTGTCAACAATGTATGAGAGACGCACCCAAAGAAACAAATTATGAAACAGCTTTTCAAGAAGCCTCTGAAATAAAGAGCATGGCGGATAAATGCTCACTGAAAGGTTAGTGCTGGTAATGTGGATGAGATTTCAAACGTATATATCAAAAGATACAACGCTCCTCGAAATGGATCTGAGGAACCTTCACCTGTTCTTGTTGCTACTGTAATCCCTCTTTGATAAAAGAGACATATTTCTTTGATTTGCAAAGTATCTGTAAAAAAGGATTCTTAGATTTTTTTTTGTTTTGAATGATTTCTTATAATTTGGGTCTAACTTGAGAGGAAATGCTAAGTATGGTCCAAGAGGGATTTCTTTGAAAATTTGAGTCAGTGTGTGTGTGGATTAGGACCTGTGGAGGGGGGGGTGGGGGGGGCCTTCATCAGGGAGGAGGCGGGATCTGCACCCCCAGCAGCTCGTAGGCAAAGATGTTCCAGAAGATGGCGAAGAGGAGGAAGGTGATGAAGGAGAAGACGATGACCCACCAGGAGCACTGTTTCTGCAGGCTCTCCTCGTAGCTGCGCAGGATCAGCAGCCCCATGCTGATGCCCACCACGGCCCCCGACAGGTGGGCCATGAAGCTGGGCTGGGGCCCCGAGGAGGGCAGCGGGGGGGAGAAGCGGAGCCAGACGGCACGACCCACCTCCGAACTCACTGTGGAGGGAAGAGGAGAGACAGAATAGCCTCAGTATTTGTTTACGGTTGTATATTTGAGGACATGAGACCAGACTACAGCCATGTTCTTCTATCAAGGAGTGAAATAATGGTGCTTAGATTTTTGAGAAATCGGCCGTTTCTGGCTTCATGGTGAAGAGTTAGAAAGGAGGATTGAGACCATTATCATCTCTGTACAGTACACATTAAGTTACAGCCATTAGGTTGTTAGCTTAGCTTAGCATAAAGACTGGAAACAGGGGGAAACAGCTAGCCTGGCTCTATGCAAATATAACAAAATCCATTTGCCTTAATGAGTACAACTGACAAATGAAAAATCTCCGTCATAAAATAATTGTACAATACAATATATATATTCTTGTTCTTGTTTATTTGGCCTTTTCAGTACTTTCCCACCTCATAACAGTTCATTTTTCAGCATCTTATTAGGAAAATAGCTAATATGTATAACCACGTACAGCATATATCACAGGGTTTATGACTAAAAACTGAACAAATGATAGTGTTTTAATTGTGGTGCTGCTCTCCGAGAATCTCTTGCACTGAATATTTACTCAGCACTGATTATAAAACTGGAACTAATGTTAATTCAGTCTCTCACACGAGCCATGTGTCACGGTTTATTTAAAATGCTGTATTGCCTGTTTGTAAAACACTAAGGAGAAATCCAACATTGCTGCAGAGACTCTCGGCTCCTCAGTTCGGGGGCGGCAGGCTCGGCACAGATGGAGGGAACATATTGCTCACTAATGAAAGTGGCAGTGTATCGGCCCTCGTGTGGAGAAAAAAGGACAAGTGGTATGACTCAAACGGTTCGAAAACAAAGCAACATGTCCAAGCATGGGGCCCCTATGAACAATTAACCAAGATAACTTGACTACATGTTTGTTGCTCAGCTTTCATCGCCGTTTTCACCCCACTCAGATAATAAATAGTCCTTAATGAGCTGTGAACATTTAATATGCTGAAAATAAAAGGTTATGCACACTCCCTATTCAATGATTGAGCTATTATATTAACATAAATAGCAACAATGGGAACAGAAAAGGAGGACAGGAGGGATTTGAGTGTAGATCTCGATAACTTACTGCAAACTAGAGCCAGGATCATGCGGAGCAGCTTGTACGGACAACGCATCCCGGCCCAGTTCTGCAACACAAAAGTGTCTCGTCAGCGTAAACAATCACGACACAAACAAACATTATTTATATATATATGTGAGTATATTATCAGCCTGAGAAGGAACGCCTCAATTTCTATCTTCTGGACATATTTAGACCTGAAAGAAAAACAATCTATATCCATACGAGAGAGGAGGAAACACTTACACAACACACAGACGCGATTACACACCTGACTGCTCTCCACTTACTTGTTCCAGCCCAGTGGCGCTCCATTAATTAGAGCTTAGATTATTTAACACAGGGGGAATATAGGCCAATAAATAGCCGTTGAGATTCTTTGGGGGAAATAAACCAATTGCATCCTGAGTTAGAATAACACTTCAACTCCTAAAGGGTGGAAAACTGTACCAATCACATTTTTCTTAAAGGGACAGGTCACTCAGAATTCAAAACGTTGTTCTCTAACCTGCAGTGTTATTTATAAAGAAATTAGTTTCTACCTTCTCTTGAATATAATGGAACTAGATGGCATTCATCTTGTGGTGCTCATTTGTGAAACTCAACGGCAATGTCCATTTCAGAAATCATGACCCAGTTACTCTAGATAATCCACAGGCCATTTAGGAACATTTTTCGTTCTGCCAAACTACACCCGCAAACCTTATTAACGCGCAGAGGGAAGTGTGCCTCAGAAAGTGCTCGCTCGCTTTAGTTTGGTAAAGAGAAAATAGTTCCTACATGAAAATTGCTCACAACAAGGTCAGCAAAATATCTATTTTTGATTTTGGGGGGGAACTTCTCCTTTAAGTTGTGGATGTATTACCCCCGGCCAGTGTTTCTCCTCTTCTCTCATAGCACACAAACAGAAATGGGGAACGCATGCAAGATTAAAGACTGAGGAGAATATAAATAAAACCTGCCGTGACCATACATTTAAAACAAGCCAGGAATGGCAGGGATTTGCAATGACACAATATTTCCACAAATAAATGATTGATATCGTGGAGGAGAGGTCAACACAGAAGTGCAGAGCTGTGTGTGCTGCTCTCTGATGGGAGGCACTTTGCTCTATCGTGCCTCCACTCCCAAATGTGTAGAAATAGCTAATCTTAAACCAAACGAAAGCCAATCTTTTCTGTCTGTTACACATCTTGTTATCACACTGCTGACATTGAAATGGAAAACTGCTGAGGTGATCAGTCGTACGTGTGTGAGGGAATCATTTATTGAGTCAAAGAAAAAGTGCTGGCAGTTCAGAGGAAACAAATATATAAAAAAACTACGAGTAAGATCTAGTTTTCCTTCAAAAAATGAAAGATTTTCAACTACGTGCAGTGCCAAAAGCTGAGTTTGTGCTCGACAGAGTTCCAAGATAGATTCTGACACTTTGGCGCATGACTTCTGGGGAGTCACGTCCGAGGCGGCGCTACAAACTTCAGAGCGGATGATGATGCTTGATGGCAGATGGCTGGGAATTTACTGGGTTGAGACTTGACGAGGTTTTCTTCAAAAACAAAAAACTAGAGCCTCATCAGAGCAGAACTAAGACGTGCCTTAAAGGATTTCCGTAACTACAAACAGGCATCAAGCGCAACAGACCCGACACAGTGTCTGTTAGCTGCTACGAGCGCGCAGTCACAGTTCCTCCGCTTTGGCCCGTCGATGCTCTTTGATTTCTATCCCTGCTGGCGTCTCGGCTGCCAACAGTGAACATTAGTTAAAGTCATTTGTCAGATGTAACACCGCCTCGAGAGCTGGAGAGAATGTGGAAGGCATTTCACATGTAGACCATGTGACCCACATATAAATAAATACTGTAAAAAAAAAACAAGCAACAAGGGAATCCACTGCTTGTTTTTTTTCCAGTAGACATAAATAAAAACAGGGTTAATAATTAATACAAGTGTCTGAAATGCCAGTTACTTCAGATTCATTGATACATACAGTATGAGAGTAATAAACATGTTGTGGTTGAGGGGGGTGGGTAAGCTACTTATCAACAAGGTTCAAAGAGGTCACATGGAATATTTATGCTTTACCAAAAGCTGCTGGGCAATACAAACAATTTATCACATCGATGTGATCCTTCTGTGGAAAACCTCCAATACATATTTGGTAGCCAATTTAGATGTCTGTTATTTGCTGTGTGTGTATGTTAAGATACGGGTATGTAAAGTTTGCAGTTGCTTATTAACAGTTTTTTAGCAGTGTCCAATAGAGGGGACAATTATAATGTTATAGAAAAAGATAGCGACAAAAAATAAAACACTATTAGATAAAGTTAAGAAGTAAAGATATGTCAAATAAAATGTCCAACTCATATTCTGTTGTTGTTGTCACATTGTATATTACCTATTTTTATTTATTTTTTAACAGAGCACTTAAGACGTAAAAGTGTGGTGTCAGTCTCACACCATTCAGAGGGCTCTGACATATCGTCTCCATTGAAAAAAAAGAAGCTTTTAGACATAACAATGGAGGCGATGATGACGGCAGTTACCATGACGACGTTGGCCAGATGTGCCGAGCACAGAGCGTAGACCCCTCCGGACCCCCCCACCACCGGAGCTCGCATGTCGGTGATGGACACTGTGAGCGAGCCTGCAGAGAAACACACAGAGAGAGAAATGAATTAGGAGCGTAGATGCAGGCAATGCAGGGAGAACAGTGTGTTTTTGTGTGTGTGTGTGTGTGTGTGTGTGTGTGTGTGTGTGTGTGTGTGTGTGTGTGTGTGTGTGTGTGTGTGTGTGTGTGTGTGTGTGTGTGTGTTGTGAGGAAGACAGAGAGAGAGCGTAGGACAGCATTTTTAGCAGAGGGTGAAAACAAAGGCAGAGTCAGATTACCCACAAGTCACCTTCCTCGGAGCATTTGTCTAAAAATCACAGAGTAACAATCTCCCTCTCTTCCCGGGGACTGCGCCACATCATCTGACCTTCACATGCCCTTTGAATTTACATCTAGAATACATGACACACACACATGTTCAATGATGTGCACAGCATGTCTGAGTCCTTTCTTCCATGTAATCAGTTAAGCAGACTAATTATATGAAATGGTACACAACTGAAATTCCTAATTGGATTTTCCTTCAGGACGCTGCAATAAAAAAAAAGTCTAATTTAAACTCTGATCAAAGTGAGGCCATGAAGACACGGACAAACCTCGCTCGAGAGACAATTTCCATTTTTAGGTGCTTCAAATATGCTTCGTCTTATATATTCCTGAGCAAAATGTAATCTGGGATATGTGGAGATGGACCGAAGCCAAATGTGCCGCTTAAAAATATATAATATGAAAAGTACAGTGGTGGTCGAAGCAGAGACAAAGTCGTGAACATTACGACCTGCTATACTGTAAAGTGATTGCACACTTAAAATATAACATCCTTGTTAAATGAATTGATTTTGTTATGTAATGAACATAAACGATATTCAAGCAGTTATCTGGTGTTTTTTGGTTTGAGCACTTACAGTCCCTAAACAGGTGTTTTCAATTTCACTCTAATTACACCCGTCAGATTACAGCTGGGTGTATATTCATTTATGGGATGTCCCCAAACTACGGTGGCTAATAACAGTGATAAGGATGTAAACTGTAGAAGAAGCAGCTGTCAATCAAGCAGCTTGTACACGCCCACACAGTCCTGAGAAGACGCGGCTAATCAGGAAAGGAAACACATGAGCTGTGAGAAGGGTCTATAAGTATTAATCTGATTCATCAAAATAAGTATTTAATTTACAGAAGTCAATTAATTGATGCTCTATTGTGTGTAATTTCCTGTTAGTTAGTATAAAGTGTTTGATTATGCATACTAAATGCTATATCAGTATGATATGACAATGAGAATAGGGAAAGTACTGCAAATAATTAGTATGCAGTATTGAATTCGGGCAAACAACATGCCTCAGGCTGTAGCTAAATACATAATAGTCTATAATACTGGCCTCTAGCTTCCATAAATAGCTAATGAGGCCATGGAGACTACATATGGAAATGCAAAATATATTATTTTTCAGATTTGTTTTGCTTTAAAAGCGTTTCCTGTTTGCATAATGTCGAGATGGGTCATTCATTCCAGTACAGGCCATTTGAAAGCCCTATACTTTTTTTTAGATGCATACTTTACTTTATTTAATCAGGTATGAATATTACATCATCAGTGTGAGTTCACACTGTTGCTCTTTCAGTTTCAAGGAATCACCCACACACATTATTTTTATTGTAAATGTGTGTAAATAGTTAGAAGAGGTTTCATTTTAATCCATACATGTGGAAAGAAGTTGAATATACAGTAAGATGTTAAATATGTATTTAAGTCAAACTGCAGTAGACCTTTAGGCGTGTGGTGCAGTGGGTTGTGCGTTGGTGTTCGGATCAGGGTCAAACCCCACTGCAGTCAGCATGTCGTTGTGTCCCTGAGACACTTCACCCCAAATTGCTCCTGTGGGGATTGCCCACAGTATTGAGTATGTCAGTCGCTTTGGATAAAAGCGTCTAACAAGTGACATGTAATGTAATTTATAAATATTAAGAACACTTACATCATCACTGCCACGCTATATCCAAAAATGTAATTGATGGAAGCAGGGTGTACTAGAGATGGGTTGTGTAACGTGATTGGATTTTGATGGACTCACATTAAAGCTCTCTGCACTTTGCTGTGTTTTGCGATCTCAAAGTTAAGAAAAACTAAAATGTTCTATGTCATTGCTCCTGTAGAGTGGTGTTTAAATGAAAAGCAACTGCCAAAATGAACTGTACAGTAACCAGCAGCTATTTCTAAGTTTTAGAGTATGAAGAGAGGCTCCTGAATGCAGCACAGTGCACCGACAGCAGCATGCACTAGGTTGCAGCGACGCTCTGAAGTAGGACAGAGTTTCAGGACAAATCACAGTCGCTCACAAGGACAGCGTCAGCCACTGCTAATTATGCAAATGAGCTGATAAGGGAAGCGGAGAGGCTGATAAAACAAAGCAGCCTCTTTTTAATCACAGTTGGGGTTTGCTGGAGTTGTGATCTCCGATCTATTATGCATGTTGTAACATTCAATGCTCTGCGTGAGTGTGTGTTTGTGTGTGAGTGTGTGTGTGTGTGTGTGTGTGTGTGTGACCACACAGAGTAAACATTGTCTTAAGAAACACCTCGTCAGCGCGTGGTGGCGGAGATGATCATGGAGAGACAGATGGTAATCAGAGCGCTGTTCTGATCCATTCATCTCATATTTTACGTGGATTTGAGGAGAAAATGAAGGTTGTTGCTTCAGCTTTGAGATTTGACAAGATTCACAGTGCTCCATTTTTAGAAGTTCCACTAAATTGCAATTACACAGCGCAGCGTACAGCATGTGGTCTCTGATCTCTTCAAAGTAGAGAAAAAATTGGATTTGAGTGGGGTTTTTTTTAGAGCTCCACAACTTCTTTGCAGTCCATTTCTTACTTCAGAGCTGTGGATCTGGTGGATAGGATATATGAGAGACGTTGTTTGAGGTTTATGGTAATGCTGGTAAAATGTAGTCTTTTGCTGCTCTTACAAATTCAATACAATTAAGTGATCCAAAATCCGGAATTCATTAACTGCTTGAGCAAAGTGAATATCAAATATAACACATTTAGATGAAACTTGGGGTTGGAAACTGAGTAGAAGATATCAAGATGTTATGTTTTTTTCTCATCTCCTAGTTTCTAACTGGTATGGAGACACATTTGGTATTTCTTACATACCACTGACATAGAAGCACTTCATCATTCATCTGATGTGGTAAACATTACTGCAAGCTACCGCCTGTTTTGAGACAGGAGCAGAATGAAAGTAATATCTTTGAGCTGCCTCCTGAAGAATATAAGTCCAATGTCCTCGCTTGTTTTCTTTTCACTGACTCCTGAGAATAATCAGGCTCTTAAACGGCTTAATATGCCACTAAGTTCACAAGCAGAACACTAACTTTGGGTATATTTGTTTGGCTGCTCCTTGGAGTGAATTTATAGAGCTGTTTTGCTGCCTGCTGGGGCTGAAAACTATGCTATGAACGCCTTGTAGGAGAAGGGAAGAGCAGAAGCGGGGGTATAACCTATGGGTTCATCACTATCAAACCCCTCCATATTACACAAAGTATAAAAGTGTTAATTAGAGCGTCTTAAGAGTAGTGAGTCGGCTTCTAAGATAATAGTTAACACCAGCCAGGACCGACACTTCATAGGAGACACTTGTCAAGCATGTGACACCACCATCTGTGGGTGAAGAAGAGGAGACAACCTGAGACCTCAGAGGAAGAGTGGGCTCCACAGGGAGGAAGCAAACTGCTCTCCTCCTGCTCGCTCAGCTTTGGTAAGACGCTCTCAAATACAGTGTGAATATTAAACAGCGCTGTCATGTGGGCTCTCCTGCTGAAGGGGATTTAAGATTTAGGATTCTCTGCACTCAGCAGGAGCAGAGACGCGAGGTGTGCGATTATTTTAACGCCGCGCTGACACACTCGTGCTCTCTCATGCACAGTGTATTTATTGTTGCCGTCCTGAAGTCATCATCAACATCCTCAAATCTTTGTGTGAGCTTGCAATATTCTGACATGCAACGTAGACGGTAAAAAATGATGTGCTTTTGTGTAGATTAAGTCAACCGCACACGCAGGGCTATCTACCGCAGTTTAATCCCCGCTGCAGCGCTCTGTCAAATCAAACCATGCTCCACCATCACTGCAGGCCGCCCTTAAGCTATGGGTCAACTTTGTGTTTCCAGTCTCGCAGGGATAAGGTGCAGACAAGGGACGGTAAGCTGATCCGAGGCCAGCCTGCCCGAGGCTGCCTCTCTCTGAAGCCAGTGGAGGCACCGCCAGCACACAGTAAAAAGAAATCCTCTAATCCTTGGGAAATATAGCTGTAAACACTTAAAAACCTTTTCACTGGGTGCTGCTAAAGCTTTGGTATGATGGTAGCTAAAAACTAAGGCCACTTACAGTCTTAAAAGAGGAGAAGGACAAATGTGGCTGATTGTAATGATCACATTTAGTGGAAAAACAACATTTTACGTGTCGTTTTCACCTTTCTTTATCAGCGTAGAGACAGACAGTGAAAAGGGGTGTGACATCAAACATTGCTGTTACCAATCGGCCTGGAAGACAGAATATTATTATATAAAATATTATTATATTATATTATATTATATTATTATTATTATTATTATAAAATATTATTATTATAATACAAATATATTATTTGAATCGATATTTACACTTAGTCTAAATAGATTTCTAGGCTAAATCTAGGCAATTTGGGGATTTAAGGGTGAAAATATCAAGGCAATTTTAGCCAATGCTTTCTATGAAACATGAAGCATGTGTTGGTATATATAGGTTTCACCGGTGCATGTTTGTTTTATTCCTTACTTCCTTTTGAATAGTAAATGTATCTACTTGGTGTCAAAGTGGGTAAAACGAAGCCAAAAAGTCAAGTTGAATCTGCATTAATACTTTCTTGCAGGCATAACAAGCTGTGAACTTTAACAAATACTCAGCTTCTAAGTTCACATGGCAAACATTTCAGAAGTTAAACTTTAGCATTCATGTGGAGATGTGCTTCAGGCAACTAAACCTAATATTGACTGTC